GGGAGCCCGATGTGGGACTCGATCCCGGGACTCCAGGATCATGACCTGAGCCGAAGGCAGTCGCTTAACCGACTGAGCCACCCAGGCGCCCAACTCTAATTTCTATATAGAGATAAAAGAGCTATTAAACAAAAAATTTCACTTGAGATTATGTTTCCTGGTCAATAAGGATTTATAAGAATGAAAGAAACTAGCAGGATCTAAATAACTCACAATCAAGTGCAACAAAAGTAAAATTTCAATAAAAGGATTATCTAAAGTAAATTCTGTCGTGCAGATTACTTAATCTGTACAAATATACTCAGAACATGACTGGTTCTTTGTTTTCTTTTATTTTCCAATTAAACTAGCTTTATCATTATAAGTAATACAAACAAACAGCAAGTTAAAAGTAAAAAGTAAGCTCCCCTATCCACCTCTAGCCCTTTCTATTTTAAGTTCCTCCTATGAGTTGCCCCTATAAGTAGCATACTAATACATCAATTTCTTGTTTTCTCAATGCAGACACTATCAATTCCCATTGTATATAAGTAATTTATCACAGTGGATGGATATGTTATATTCTCCTTCTCTTCTCCCTCCTTACACTAGAAGCCACACTATTTTTAGTTTTAGTGATGATCTTTATGACTCTAAATAATACGCAAGGCACAAGTGCTTGATATATCATCTTTAAACAATTCATTGTTACCTTCAGAAAGATGAGAAAAATACTGCATTTAGTTGTTACTCTTCCTCATATCTTTCCTTCCCATTCCATCTCCTAACATTTTGTTCTAACTATAACTAAATCTTTTACATGTTAGTGTCCATTTCTACAGATGGAAAAACCAAGAGGCAGCACTCATTATGTAACTTGAATGATCAAGTACCTAGTTCCTAAATTTAAAAAGTACAGCAATTTAAACCAATAAAGAAAAATTCAATGACATTCAAACTTTCCAAAGGGAAAGAGATTCTTCAAAGCATTTACTCATTTAACAAATATTTAATCACCTATTTATTTATCAATCATTAGGTGCTAGGGATTCAGCAGAGAACAAAGCAAGCCCTGCTCTCACAGAGCTTATGTTCCAATGAGAACATGATTAGCTAGCAATGTTATTTTCTTTTTAGCTTCCTTCACTTCTCCAAGGTCAGTGGTTCCCCACTGAGGGCTCATTTTCATTTGTCAGGCTTCAAAGACCACAGTGCCAATTTAACAGACTGAGTGGAGATGCTTATAGTCCTGAGATAAACTACATACAATGAAGACCTATCTGATGCACAGTCCCTGCTGAGAGATACTTATTCTAGTATAACCAGTTACCAGGTGTTATCTTTCTTGAAATCCTTTTTCTGCTGAAAAACCTCTTCAGGTTACTTTCTCATGAAGGATTATGTGGCTACTCCTGTACACCTGAAATCTTTATTTTGCATTTCCCCTTCAATGATAAAATGTGACACTCATCTTTAAGAACATAATTCTATATACCCCATTCCCCTCCACTCTGAAATAAGATTTTCCCTATGAGTATCCAGAGTTGTAGATGGAAAAATTCTGATGATAATCTGATTCTCCTTTGTCTGCAGTACGTAATTTGTCTTTTGCTCAGGAAGCTTAAGATTTTCTCTTTATCCTGTCTTTAGTTCTTTTCAATTTGAAATAATCCTGCTACTTACTCAGCTTGGGCCCATTCCTTCTGAAAACATGTATCTTTTGTCTTTGGGCATTTTTCTCCAATCATTCTTCCCTTTGTTTCGGGAAATCTCTTTGATTTGAAATTTCAGATTAACTGGATTTAAAACATTAACATTTTATTATCTGCTGTGCACCGATTTTTTTTTGACATTCATGTTTCTCATTTCCAAGAAAATTTTCTAGTTTTCTTTTTTTACATATGAATCCTCCCTCACTAACAAATTAAATTTTTTTATATTTTAAATTATCTTCTGCTCCCTAAATTCTTTGAGTTTGTCTTCACTGTTCTGCCATTAAGCTTGATTTTAATCAAATATATCAAAAGTATGTGTTCAAATCTAAGAATGAAGAACTAGACAAATACTATGATAACTAGCATGGATTCCTCTTCCAGTTTTAAGTTTCACCAATATCCCTTACTCTAAAAGACACAGCATGACTTTCCAAGTATTATATTAACCTGACAGGATGTCTAGCAGTCTCTTCCATGGGGTGCTTTGATGGCAAGGTAACCTGGGGACTTACTCCATTGTCAAAATAACCAGAAGAAAAAACAAAAAGAAAGTCAAAGACCCAGGGATGAAAAGATGGAATTAGCTTCTTAAAGTCCTTGTCTATCTATCACAAGTAGGCCCAAGAACTTAATGAAAAACATGAACACACTAGGAAGAGAAATGAAAATTACTGTAACCACAGACCCAAATGTAAAATTTAAAACTAAAAACCCTAGGAAAAACCACAGGAAAAAATATTCCCAAACCAAGGAAGGGCAAAGATTTGGGGTCAGATTAGTATAAGCCTTCTAAAATTGTTTTTACTATTTAAAATTGTTTTGGCTATTCTAGGACCTCTACCTGATCTTAGCCTAGGGCTTATACTAGAAAAAAGGCATAAAGGACACCACAGATAAACTGATAAGAGTATTGTAGTTATGTAAGAGAATATCCTTATCCTTAGGAAATATACACTATACTTTTGGGGGGGTAAAGAACCATGATATATGGAACTTACTCTCAAATTGTTAAAAAAAAACAAACAAACAAACACATAAAACAAACAGGGAAGAATGTTAATAGGTAAATCTGGATAAAAGGCATATGAGTGTCTCACATATTATTCTGATTCTTCCAAATAGATTAAAAATTATTTCCAAATGGGGCGCCTGGGTGGCTCAGTCGTTAAGCGTCTGCCTTCAGCTCAGGTCATGATCTCAGGGTCCTGGGATCGAGCCCCACATCGGGCTCCCTG